GAGTACTTCGACAATGGCTACGGAAAATAAACAACAGAGATTTACTATAGAGAAAACAAAATTTGCCTTCACAAGAAAAGTAGACACTTTAGAATAAAATCCTGAAAATTATCTAGGGTGACTTTTTTCAGTTTACAAAAATAGTTATTTTTTCATTCAACCTCGTTTTGTTAATTCATACCAGGCAAAAGTTCATTTCAATTTTTAATGGGACATACTATAATATATGCAATTTACTTTGGGAGCAGGAATGAATTTATTAGCCCCCGCCATGTTATGGCCAGGGCATATAGTGTTAACCTGTTCCGTCATTCAGTCCTTCCGTCATTCTGTCATTCTGTCATTCCGTCATCATCAGTTTCCGTTCATTATCTTAGTGACGGTTGCACACATTCAACTCAAATTTGGTTATGGTTTGATGATTTTTGGCAGAGTTATGCCCCTTTAACTTTAAAATAATATGAAATTTTCAGTTTCCGTTCATTATCACCCCAACGGTACAACACATTCAATTTAAACTTGACATATGGATATGACATGAGAAAATACAGGTCAAGTTCGAATTTGCTCATGGTTCGATGATTTTTGGCAGAGTTGTACCCCTTTTACTTTGAAAATAATATGAAATTTGCAGTTTCCGTTCATTATCTCCTCAACGGTACATACATTCAACTCAAACTTGACATATGGAAATGACATGAAAAATACAGGTCAAGATGGAATTTGGTCATGGCTCGATGATTTTTGGCAGAGTTATGCCCCTTTTACTTTGAAAATAATATGAAATTTTCAGTTTCCGTTCATTATATCCCAAACAGTACAAGACATTCAACTCAAACTTGACATATGGATACGTCAAAGAAATGCGCAGGTCAAGTTTAAACTTGGTTATAGTTCGATGATTTTTGGCAGAGTTATGCCCCTTTCACTTTGAAAATAATTTGAAATTTTCAGTTTCTGTTAATTATCTCCCCAACGGTACAACACATTCAACTCAAATTTGACATATGGATATGTTTTGGAACGCCAGGCCAAGTTCGAATTTGGTCATGGTTTAATGAACTTAAGCAGAGTAATACCCCTTTCACTTTGAAAATAATATGAAATTTACAGTTTCTGTTCATAACCCAACAGTGTTACATATTCAACTCAAATTTGACATATGGATATGTGAAAGGAATTGGCCAGTCAAGTTTGAATTTGGTCATAGTTCAATGATTTTTTGGCAGAGTTATGTCCCTTTCACTTTGAAAATAATATAGATACATCTTAGGAATAAGTAGTTTAAGTTTGAATTTGGTCGTGGTTTAATGATTTTTGACACACTTATCTTTCCTGAATGTTGGAAAATTTTTGATTTTTCAGTTTCAGCACTTATACTTTTGTAGAAATGTATGTAGCCATTATTTTGGCAACAGATATGCAATATGCTATTTTCAAAAGTTTAAGACTGAATAATTTCAGTGCCTTGAACTTTGTATGAAAATGGTTTGTGTTAACATTGAAAACTTTTAAGGGCTTTGAACTTAAAATAAAAAAAAATAATTTGTGCAAACAAATTTGGAGCTAAATATTATAACAACTGAAATTTTGGCTGCATGCGGGGGCATCCGTGGCATGATGACACATCACATTTCTAGTTTTAATGAGGAATCATTTTGATACTAGTTACGCTTTGTAAAATAACAAAGTATTAAAGATCCTGTATGTTGTAATTAAGTAAAATGTTATATAGGTATATAATTATGCTTCTTAAACAATTTCAAAACATCGAAGAATATGTAAAATACGTACTGCAAATAATTGTCCACATTTTATGTAGTTATTAAAACATATGCATTCATTTCTCATTGGAAAAATTTGACTTAGATTTTATAGAAAATAAATTTCTAATTAACTCCCTTCATTGACATGAAATGTAAATTCGGTTTAATCTTTACAAATAATCTTTTTGGATCTTACAATATTGATAAATCTTCATTTGAGCATTATATTTATGGTATAAATCCATAAAAAATATGTTACATGTCTTTAAATAAGATAAGTAATAGTACATTTTACATACTTGTTCTATTTCTCTATTTAATTGTTTTCTTTTGTGTTGGTTTTTATTCACATGCAAGCTAACATGACATATATATTAAACGAACCATAACTTAAATAATTTCCAACCACTTACAATTAAATATTTTCTAGGTTAAGTACTTGTTGACTTTTCGTAACGTTTAAAATATGAATATTCGATTAATATTGTCAACACAATTAATCAGTCGGTCTTGTTTATTGGAAAATGTTTAGAATAAAATGTTAATCAGCCTTAAATATATAAAGACTGCCCCACTCTTTTTATGAAATGAACGTTACAGGTAATTTTTAACGGATTTTTTCGATATTGACGAAAATTTCGTTTGAATCCATGCGTTGTTTTTTGTTAATGTGAAAAAATATATAATTAAAGGAATTATGGCAAAATAAAAACTTATTTTGACATACGTACACTTGTTCACTCATTTATAATTTTGGATGGGCATAATGTCACTTTAAGCATCATGAAATGTAAAATTTGCAATTAGGCAGTCATCATAGAACCTTCAATACGAACCCTTAGTGCCATACCACGAAAATCAGCATATGGTGCCTTAGCAAAAGAATGGATGTGCCATAAACGAGAAGACAATGGGTTGAACAAAACTAAAAGAATTTTGAAAGGGGATCAGTGGCTATGAAGCCTGCATATCAAAGACAAGATGTGCAAAGACAAATTATAAATCAGGCAGCATATCATAATGATTATTAACTATTTAAGAAGGAATACTGGAACCACAAAACCAGAAAAGATCAAATATAAATTTAAATCACCACAAAACATGCACCCATAAAGTAATGTAATGCTACGACTTATGAAAACATGTCAATTGAAGTATTCCTTGCTTAGATGGAAATGTGTTTAATTATGTCGTTTTGTAATTATCTATTGATATGTTCTTTCAGCAATCGACTAAGATGTCTGTTATAATCAAAGAATGTACCAAACTTAGATTTGACAGTTTATGGGAAAGTAATGTAACTATCTTATTTTAAAGAAGTGATGTATTCCATGTTATTCCAGGTTACACAAATTTCTTTATGTCACATGATTCCAATAGTTCTGTTATTAACAAATTTATATATATTACCAAATAAGAGCACAATATGTCATGCTACATTTTTATGCCCCCGCCATATAATGACCGGGGCAAATAGTGTTACCCTGTTCCATCATTCCTTCTTTCCGTCATTCAGTCCTTACGTCATTCCGTCATTCTGTCATTCCGTCGTCATCAGTTTCCGTTCAATATCTTAGTAACGGTTGAACACATTCAACTCAAATTTACCATATGGATATGTCATGAGAAAAAACAGGTCAAGTTCGAATTTGGTCATGGTTCGATGATTTTTGGCAGAGTTATGCCCCTTTTACTTTAAAAATAATATGAAATTTTCAGTTTCTGTTCATTATCTCCCCATGTGTACAACACATTCAACTCAAACATGACATATGGATATGTCATGAGAAAATACAGGTTAAGTTTGAATTTTGTCATGGTTTGATGATTTTTGGCAGAAATATGCCCCTTTAACTTTGAAAATAATTTGAAATTTTCAGTTTCATTATCTCCCCAACGTCTAAACACATTCAACTCAAACTTAACATTTGGATTAGTCAAAGGAATGCGCAGGTAAAGTTTAAATTTGGTCATGGTTCAATGATTTTTGCAGAGTTATGACCCTTTCATTTATAAAATAATATGAAATTGTCAGTTTCTGTTTATTATCTCCCCAACAATATTACACATTCAACTCAAATTTGACATATGGACATGTCAATGGAATACACAGACCAAGTTCGAATTTGGTCATGCTTCAATGATTTTTGGCAGAGTAATGCCCCTTTCTCCTTAAAAATAGTATGAAATTTTCAGTTTCCGTTCATTATCTCCCCAACGGTACAACACATTCGTGTCAAACTTAACATATGGATATATCATGAAGAAATACAGGTCAAGTTCGAATTTGGTCATGGTTTGATGATTTTTGGCAGAGTTATGCCCTTTTACTTTGAAAATAATATTAAATTTTTAAGTTCAGTTCATTATCTCCTCTAGGGTATTACACATTCAAATCAAATTTGACATATGGATATGTCAAAGAAATGCGCAGGTCAGTTTGAATTTTGTCATGGTTTGATGAATTTTGGCAGAGTGATGCCTCTTTAACTTTGGAAAATTTGGAAAAAGAAAATTTTCAGTTCCACATTCATTATTTCTCCAACATATTCAACTCAAATTAAAGCTATGGATATGTCATAAGAATGCATTGGTCAATTTCGAATTCGGTCATGGTTTGATGATAGCTGACAGAGTTAACCATTTTGAACTTTGAAAACAAATCAGAAATTTTAGGTTTCCGTTCATTATCTCCCCAATGGTTGTACGCATTCAACTCAAATTTAACATATAGATACATCTTAAGAATAGGCAGTTTAAGCTTATATTTGTTCGTGGTTCAATGATTTTGGAAAAACTTATCTTTCCTGAATGTTGGAAAAATTTTGAATTTTCATTTTCAGCACTCATACTTTTGTGGAAAATTAATGTATGTAGCCATTATTTTGGCTACAAATATGCAATATGCAATTTAAAAGGTTAAGACTGAATAATTTCAATTTCAGTGCCTTCAACATTTTATAAAAATGATTTTTGTTAACATTGAAAATTTTTTAAGGGCTTTGAACTTAAAATGAAAAAAAAAATAATTTGTGCAACTAAATATTATAACATCTGATATTTTGGCTGCATGCGGGGGCATCCGTGGCATGATGACACATTTCTAGTTTATTATATACAGCTAATCTATGAACAAATTCCCTATCTTAATTATAGGCAATTTATATCTTAAGAACGAACTCATATATGTTTAATTTGTATTTATGTTTAATAAAACTGAATAAAAACAAATACCTGTACTTGAGGTAATGACTGATCCGAAATGTCGATTTTCTTACAGGATGAAAATATGTTCCCCATTCTGTTATGGTATCACTGGTTGTCTAAAAGGATGTTATGGAATTGTGCAATGCTAACTGTCTACTCTTTTTTAAAGTATATAGTTTTTGTCTGTCACCAATTTCAAACCTGAAAAGGTAAAGACGCAAACAAAATATTTTTGAAATTTCAGATTTTGTTATTTAAATAAGAAAGTGAATCCGTACAATTTATTTTTACTAAATGGCAGTAAAAAATAAAAAGAAATGTTGATTCGAATAAATACATTTTCCTTCTTACAAATTTATATCGGTTTACATCGTCACTGTACATTTGAAAGCGAATGTTTTAAAAATATCAAGCCTATATCTATAACAATTTTATAATAATTTGTACTCCCTGAATTATCAAAAAGGATAAGCAACTATTTATGTTATAAATATACTATAAAACATTGAAGCTTGATATTAAGTAAGAAAGGAAGAACATGAATTTGTCCTGATAAATTGACCTCTTCGTAAGCCTTCCACTTTAAGTAATACTTAATTTATGGAATATGCAAGTATGAATTAGAAATTACTTTCCGGTACCCATCTGTGTTCCTTCTCGTATTTCACATGTGTGTATTGTACATTTTTGCACATTTTGTGATGTCTACCTTTAAAAATATCGCTGTTAATGATAAGTATTTTCTATCCCCCATCTCCCCACTCACCCTTCTCCAGTTTTATCCTTCTCCCCCTTTCCCCCTGATAGTCCTTGTCCCTTTAATTCCATTATAGGCCTGTTTTTATTACTATATCACATAGAACGTGTACCTCCCCTCCCTTCGCCGCCCTTATGTCCTGTGCAGATTTTGGTTTGGCACCTTTTGGGTACCCTACTGTAGTAGTTTCGGTGTGTCGGGTATGAACGTTGCCTTTTGCCTTGTTGATCTTTATTTTTTTTTCCATATTCTATAAACTACATTCATTCAATATAACTGATAAAAAGATATTCATTATATTTCTGTAAATATGTGACATAAAGCAACAAGTATTCAATTCCTTTATTGTTGTTGAACTTTTGACTTAATTATAGCTTTTGCCTCAGCAGGAAAATACATTATCAGGTAGTCTCATTATAAATGTGAAATGATGCTTTGCAACCGTCTATGGAATCCTCCGTGTAAATATGGATCAATTTTTCATGTTCTTCTTTGATTTTCAATACATGTGCCTTAATATTTTAGGAGTTTTTGATATTTTTTTAACTTGGATAGACTAATATAAACTTCTATAGAAATGAAAGTCCACAAAAGAACATCATCTTCGACATTTTGATCTTTAATACGTAGACCGAATGGTTTAATTTCCTTTTTATTTGTTTAAAAAAATCACTGTAATTTAAATTAAGGAATATTTTTAAAGACAATATTTAAACTATTCTATGATACTCGAGCTGCTGCATATTGAAGATAAAGTTGATTTTTTTTTCTACTTAGATAAAGGGAAGGTTCTCCTGCTTTTGCATAGAAACTTTCTCCTGATGATGTTCGAAATGCAAAGTATTAAGCAAATGTAAATATGAATTTCTAGTGTTTAGGGCACACGCTTTTTACAACTTGGGGACCATAAGCCGCTTTTCATGGAATGGCACGGAAGTGTCACATTGAAGGTTCCATGATAACCGCCGTATGAACACATCTGCGGATGTTTCTAAATTCAAAATTTTACTATTTCATGTTTAAATGTTGAATTCTGCTTAAGCCGGTGCTAGAGGGCGTGGACGGTAACTTGCACTTTCCAGTACCGTCCATGAACAGGCTCAATCAAACCGAGCCTGCAACATTTTCAATTTTGCCGTGTTGGGCTTTCTTTAGGGATTCTGTATTTATCTATTTTCTAACTGAACCATATGCAAAAGAACTTTCATTCTATGAATTAGAAATTTTTAGATCTATATTGATACACGCCAGATATGCTCTTGTTGCATTAATATTTAGTGGCACTTTCATATGCAACAGCTTTCCGCTGTGGAGGACATACTCCAGACATGTCACCTCTCATGCCCTCCAAACACTTATTTTGAAGTACAAAGTGGTGATTTTTTTTTATCTCAATGCAATTCTCACGGAGTATATATACTGACTGAAAGCAACACCAATGGTATTATACCAGAAATTCAAAAGCACAAAATTTGATGCATAAGAAATAAAACACCAAAAAATGCTTCAGAATAAGTTTGTTGAACATCCACCAATTAGTTCTGTAGTAGAAGAAAGGTTTTTTTTCTATTTTTAGCTCTGTTGACCCCTAAAAAGGGCCAATTGAAATGATATGAGCAAATTTAAGTGTGACAGTCATAAGGATGCTACAGACCAATTTGAGGTATATCTGGCTAGACGAGTGTTGACGCATGACGACGGACGACGGAGTATCCCCCTTTGATACTAATAGCTCACACCGAACTTTCGGTTCTGGTGAGCTAAAAATAAAAATTCAATGCTTACAAATTATTGTCTTCTTTCACATTCATAACATAAATATTTATACAAATATCCAACACAAAATATCTCTTTGACCCCTGGGATGCAAACAAGGGATGCTCAATGCAAAATACATAAGCTTAACATAAATACATGTATATCATTTTTAGGCATATGAATTTATGTTGTTTTTACCTTCTTTGATTTTATGCTTTTAAAATTCAGAAATTCAAAATGCAATTGGCTAAACTTATCATATTGGTATTTCTTCCTATGAACATATATCAGTCTTTCAATAAGATACATAGGTACAGACTACCAACAATAAACTTAAACAGTATCATGTCCAAAAATTTGATAATTTACCTTTAAAAATGAAATTTTATATGGCTAGTTTACAACTTATTTGCATATCTCAAGTACTTTCAGTTTAAATTAATAATTTCTCATTTCAAAATAACTAAATCATATTAACCTATAAAAGATCCCCAATTTTTATAATCTAAACGGAAAAAAGTCTAAAAACATAAAGTTTGATAAAAAAACATTATAAAGTGATAGATTAAGGAAAATAATTGGAGGTAAATACACACAGAAGTCAATTAAGAAGAAATTATAACTTTTTTTATAATGACCAATCATTATAAGTAAATTATATCAGAAACACCCCTTAATTCATAACAGAATTTAAACATTTGATTAATTTTTGATCCACAATTATTACAACTACCTTCCATGACTTAATCAAACAGAGCCTGAAACATTTTATAACTTTTCTGTTATCGTGTTCTTTTGGGTTTAAGTTTTTTTCTATTTTGAGGGGAAGCAACTCATATTAACCAAATTGTTTTTCTGTCAATCGTTTATAGACTATTCTAGCTGTTTATAAACAATTAGCTATACAGAAACATTTTCATTATTTTATATTTTAATAAACAGAATGGAATAATGATTTATTTGCCCGGCCGTTTATACTTAAGAGATAGTTTGAGTTAGTCCGTACCTAAAGGTATTCTGCTACAGGAATCCTCCAGTCACTGTTTGAAATTATTTTTGTTGTTGCTTATTTAGATGGTAAATAAAGTAAGCTTTGGTAAAAATGAAATATAGGAAATAAAACCTATAGCTTATAGGTTACATGTGTCCAGACATTACTGAAACAGAAAAACGATAAATCCTTAAGTTTTCAATTTTAAACACTTTATTACCTGGTGTTTTGATGTGATGTTTTCCCCTCCTGATCTTTTAATTTAGTGAAAAAACAATAATCAAATATAGGTGATGAGAGTCATATTTCACCATGCACTGGGGGTATCCCAGGTCATGCCTCTGAATAATAATTTGACTGCCCAGTTATAGTTTTAAACCCAGTCCAAGCTTGCTTATTTTTTCTTGTATAGAGTTATAGGAATATTGTAAAGGGTAGCTTAGCCTTTTATAAACATATACATCGTTGTTCTTTTACGAAGACATGGAAAAACAAAATAGTGCCATTGGTTCCAGGCTTAAATACGACAAAACTTTGTCGTATTTTCGAGTTTTCGTCTGCTGCCTAGCAAGGCAAAAGAATGGTATGACACAAATCAGCCACCTTTGCATTTTTTATATAGAAAAATGCAAGCTTTTTTTATTTGTAAAAAGATATAGAAATAGTACAATGACAATATATTAGAAACGAAGGTTCAGGGTGAGCAATAAATATTAAAGGGGGTGATCCGGCGTCCGTCGTCAACATTCATCTTCTGGACAAAATTCCCTTAAATTTGGCCTTTAGTCCTTGTCTCTGTCACACTTAAATTTACTGATGTCTTTTCAATTGGCCCCTTAAAAGGGTCAACAGAGCTAAAATTCGAAAAACCTTTAAACATCTCGTACTTCAAAATTGATTGATGGATGATCACCAAACTTTGTTTGTAGCATTCTAAATTTAGTCTTTTATCAAATTTGCTTATATTAATTTGAATGGCCCTCTTAGGAGCCGCTAAAGGTAAAAAATAGAGAAAAAAATAATATTTCTCTTCTTCTTCTGAATTTATTGATGGATGATCACCAATCTTTGTCTGTATCATTCTTAGGTAGCTGTAATCAAATTTCTTCATATGTACTTGATCGGCCCCTTTTAGGGACCGCTTAAGCAAAGAACTCATTTATGGATAATCTCCAAACTTTTTCGGTAGCATTTTTAGACAGTCTGTTATCACATTTGTTCAAATTAATTTGATTGGCCCCTTTTAAGGATCCCTAGAGCTGAAAAAAGAACCGTTTTAACTTCTCCTACAGAACTAAGGAATAGTCTGATTATCATAATATATGACGAACCTGATTTCATATATATTGGTATGCATATAAATACATTTATGCTGAAATGAATATCAAAAATGATGCAATTAAAGAGTAATCAAATCCTTAGCGTAATATGTAAAATAGAATTAAAACTCTAATCTTCGGCGTATTATATCACGTCGAAATCCGGTATTCATCATGAGGTCACAAACTTTAATGTAAATTTATATCTCAACATAAATGTTTCTATTATTCAAAACAGACACTTTATATATTTGAGAAACCAGATTTTTTTACAAAAAAAGAATAGATCTAGGTAAGATATTCTTTAACTTCACAATAATAACAGTCCCGACACAAGGTACTTAAACGGTTTGACTAACGCTGTCGCACGCTAAACGTTTCTGGGGATGTATTCTAGGCTTGATAAGGGTCCATCAGCTCTTTCAAGCACTTAGAGTACGTAACCCGGACATGTCACCATTCAAGTCCTTAAACAAATGGTGACCCATAAATTTTGAATTCAGTAATGCACTGAATGATACTAAATATGTATGCAAGTTGATTATTTGTAATGATACTATTTGATGCACGGGAGGTCAGTTAGACCATTTTATGCATCGTGGAGAAAAATAAATGGTCATTTCTTTCGGATGAGCTTGACATATAAGATAATGTAACTAGGACTGTAACTTGACACATATTTTCCGTATGCACGACCGACATGCACAAACATTCTTTTAAGATTTTTACAGGCGAATTTGGAATGAAATTTAGACAAACAACGGATCTTTATACAAATAATGAGAATATTCCAAACTACTGAAATATTAAATGCATTTTAGCAAATATTTAGATTCAGCAATGATATAGAATAGATCAATTTTATTTTAATTATTTATTTCTTTTTTTAAGGGGGGTCATTGAGGGTAGCTTTAGTCAAAGGGTCAAAGGTGATGTTTACTCCATTCTATATCATTCTTCGCAGATGAGATGGAGTTTACTCATATCATGAAACAATATATAATTGTTGTTATAAAAGTAACAAATTGTAAATTATATTTATTTTATTAAGGCAATCTTCTTAAACTATTTCTTAGTATGTCGAAAGCGAATTTTTTTAACAAATAAATTTTCATAATTGTATGAATTATGTACTACATGTGCTAAGTAAAATGATGTTCGCATTACTAATTGTTGTTCTTTATTTGTTTTTTTTTTTAATTTATTTAATACTGTAAGTACAGAGTGGGATTTTTAATATATGGATTTGTAACCTGAAATGGTAATTATGAAGTATACAAAGTGCCCACCACCTATTTTACTACTTTTGGTAATATCAACAATTCTAGCTACTATAACTAAATATATACAGGCATGCACTAGTATCATAAAAACTAAATCATAACAGTAACAACAGTTTTATTAGTATGACACCGGTATAAACATACAAGTTAGTCTCATTTAACTATGATTGAGATGGGCGCGCATGTTTCGGTTTGATTAAGAGTAAGGGCTGTACTGCAACCTGATGGACATAATATGTCATCGTTAATTATATTCCCTCTTATATGTTAAGTATTTTAGTTTGATTTGATGTATTTAGTCGGTTGATTGAGATGTGCGCGCGTGTTCTTTCTTGATTACGAGTATGGGCTGTACTGCAGCCGGATTGGCATAATAAGTCATTGTAAGTCATACTAGTTCTTATATATTAGGTATTCTTATTGTGTTGACGTATGTAGTCGGTGTGCAAATGTAAGTCTCGTCCCATGTAGGGCGTCTACCAACCAAGTATTAAATATAGTTTATTATCATGGTATTGTTAGTGAACATTTATATCTCAGCCGGTTGAAAGCAATATCAATACTGGAGTTACTACTTTCTTTTCATTAGGGATAAAAATAGTTAACAAACAAAAAATACTCTTTTTACAAGCACATCTATGTGAACAGAAATTATAAATATGTTATGACATCATTTTTACAAAGTTTATTGCACAGTAAATATTAAGTCGAAACAAACATAATACAATTATCTATTAATTCTTTTCATTGTTGTTCTTTTTTTCTCTTCCATTATTTTGTTTGTTTGTTTTGTTTTGGTTTTAATAATTAGTTTCCACCATTTTTGTAAAATTATAACCTTAAAGATATAAATAACTATTTGATATTGTTTGTTTATTTCAAATAATGATCGGCATAACTTTTAAGATTCTTAATTTAAAATATACATGTGCATGCTTGGTAAAAAGCATGTTTTTACATTGCTTTAATAAAATTAAATATAAATATGAGTAGAAATTCAATAAAGCAGCTTTATGAAGCAACTAAATAAGCTGATTTATAATAATGAGACTTCAAACTTTGAATATAATACAAAGTAGTTTTGTTGAACATTGTTGTGTTTTTCCCAATCTCAGTTCAAATACATGTATACTGTACAGTTCGTTACTAGACCTTTTTAAATATCAAAAGAAAAAAAAAAAGATTTTCATTATAGATAAGTGACAATTCAAAATATTCAACTTATCTTAATTTCCTACTTTTAATCTCATCTAGAAAAAAAATTTAGGCCTGTAAGACCTGGGTCATGAAATTATTTTAAAAAAAAAGATGTATATACAGTATATGTCAGTGTTAGTAAATCACTATGCGTCTCATGTAAGTAAAAACGAAAAGTTATAAACATGTATCTCTACTGTGCAGTTTAAGAATAAATTTATTACCTGTAGATTGTTGTTGTCACATTGTGTACATCCTCCACAGTAAATTTCTCAATCTCGGACGGTTTTTATTTGCCGGAGATATCATTGGCTAACTCGCAAAAGTTGAAAGGTCAAACAGTATTAGATACCACAATACTGTACATGGGAATGAATGAGACCTCATGATTAATATACATCATTAACATATATATTCTTCCGGGTAAACATACACACACACACACACACAAAATAAAAAATATATTACTATGATACAAGCTACTAGCTGTTGATGTATACTTATTTCAGAAACGTTGTAAATATAACATGGATCAGTGCACTTCAGAAAAGGTAAGTCATGTGTGTATGGATAGCATTGTTATGTTATACTATTTGCAGCGAGACATTGTAGTTTAGATGTAGCGCGCTGATCTAACAACTATATACTGGTACAGGTTCAAATTTCAGCATTTCCATTTTTTGAAAGATATATTTTTTTTCAATGCACGGGTACAGGTTCAAATTTCAGCATTTTCATTTTTTGAAAGATATATTTTTTTCAATGCACGGGTACTTCTCAACTGTGTGTCGTGCATATAAATAACACCATTCAACATTTTACGGAAACCATAGCTGTCTTCAAAAGACGAAAATAATATTATCTTTATTAAAAGTAAAAGTTATCTTATTAGAATCAATCATTATGAAATATCATGTTTAATACAATTCAATTGAGCTTTTGTGCTACAAGTGACATAATGGCTTACAACAAAAAATAATTAATTTTGCGAACACGCGAGTCCTGAGCTGTTTTGTTTGAGGTGTAAGCTATGGCGCTGTTAGAGGGACATCATCAAACTTTTTGTACTTGATTTCGTTAAAAACTTGTCATTGCAAAAGTGTTATAAAGTTCATTGTCTATTGCCGAGACAGTGCTGGAAGATTAAGGATTAGTTTTTGATTAAGCCACTTGATGAAAACCTCGCGTGGTCATTACCTATTGAGACTGGAGACGAACATGCCAGCGCCAGAACGATTGAGAGTGCCACGGAGGTTTTTATTGTTGATTTAATTGTTTGTGATATAGATACGTTGTTACCCAACCATTAATTGTACTACTTGCTACCTTATTCAATGTGTGCATCGCGTATGTACATGTTGAAATTCGCACATTTATTCGTGCATTCTACATAACATTTGAGAATTACATCACTTGGCCAACCATACTTCAATGGTTTAGTAAACGTGTCGGCTGGGATAAACTGTCCCGCAGTTAGTATTATAGATGGAACATCACACGAAATATTACGACCGATGGATAAGCCGCAAGAACAATTATATTCTTGATACAGTATCAACACTTAAGTTATTTGAATTCATATGGCGACCTGTGTTTAATTCTTTTTTATTCTAACGATTGAGATTTCGTGCGATGCCCTCTGAAGCGTTACTTTATATTGCACATATGATGACAGTTACGTTTAGTCCTGTTTCCACACCATGTACCAACACTTACTAGTTTATCTTGAAAACATCGCTTCTTGGTCAATGGTTGAAAAATTATCACTACAATAGAGTATATAAATGATTGTTCGTTTGTTTTTATTTATTGGTTTTTATATAAATTATGGTTATATTGTCTCCATCTTAATGTGTTGATGGTTGATAGAAATACTATAACTAGCATATACATGTAAAAAACCGATGTATTGTTTTTTTATCATATATGTTTGCGAAAATCCCCAGTTTATTCCGTATTACGAATTCCGTTAACGAAGTACGTTTAAGATAGAAAGGTCTAATATGAAGATCCAAAAATGATGAATTAAAATTTATAAATGCTAATATAATATCTTGTTGTGTATCTTCAGGTACACTCAACATAAACTCTCTTTCATAGCAGTACAGAAACAATCGGCGACCAGGGAAGCACAATAAGTACCCATAGGAATTTCTATGATCTGTTTAAATAGGTAATACCAATCCTGACATAAATGTTGTCTAAAATAAAAGAGAGTGCTCTACAAACTTCGTCACTGGTCCACAAAGTATAATGTTTAACAATACCGTTAGTAATAATAGCTTTGTTAGAATTGCACGCAAGAAAGGTATTTTTCCAACCCAAAGTTTTCTGAAATAGGGACATTAGTTTATCATTAATTAATGTATGTGGCAAAGTTATATAAAGTGTAGTAAAATCGTATGTACTGACAGTTGAAGCTTAGTACATCTTAATTTTGAATTTATCCAAGATTTCACCACAATTTTTGATATACCAAAAGAGATATTTTCCTTGTTTTAATACTACACTTTATCACAATATCTAATTACATGTGTGTTAATGGCAGTCAAGCAAAACGTCAATAAGATAGAAAGTTTTGTTGTAGTGCAAGAGGTAGAATGAGCAGTGAATCTGACTTTGTAAGGTTATTTTATGTAATTTAGGAACCCAATATATTTTAGGAAGTTCTTTTTCATTAATTTGGACATTTAGATTATTAATATTAGTGATATGATTGTCTTTTTTTTCAAAAAACGCATTTAAATACTATTATTTTTATTACATTTTTCGGTTTTACGATAAGAGAAATTATCCAAACAAAAAAGCAATTGATTATTCAAACTTCATAGGTGGATAGATCTCCCTCAAGATAAATGAGAGTGTACTCTGGATGGAAATATATACCTCCGTTATAAACCCGTTACTATAATATATAGATGATAATACTCCTGCATCGCTCCGTTGTAGTGTGTTCCAATAAAAAAAAAGCTTAAAATAGATTAATATCTACCTGTAGTGGTGGCATATTACCAAAAAAGACTCTTGAAGATTTTCAAACATGAACAGCTTCATCTCGCTCTACGACGATGATGAGATCATTTATTAAGAGAGGATGCTCCTGCGCCGCGCTGAAAGAAATCGAGTTCTCGTAACCAGTTGTATAAGTTTTTAAGTTATTGCCCTCTCTGATTTCATACGTTCGATACTTTCTATAATATGCCAAACCATGTATAAAGACGTTCGTATTCCAGACATCCTTCATATCTCCATACAACATGTGTAGAGAAATGTACGAGATCGCCACGCGAATCAAAACGAGTGAAATAGATCTATAACCATACCATAGTCTCAATATCTACTCCCTCAGTATTATTGCAATCCTCTGTCATTCAGTAATATCACATAGAAGTATTTTAAAAAATATATGTATCTCCCATCTTTCACACCCATATGTTTTCATTACTAACTCTCTCTAGAGATTTGACTTATTCTCGCATTACTACCCATATACATTCTTCCAATGAGAAAATATACTCGGCACGAGGGTTGGCCATTTTAAAATAGCTTTTGTATTACATAAGGTTTTGCTCTGTCTTCTAAGGTAACAGATAGAACCCATGAGATTTGTGTTTTTAAAGAAGCGTTGCTTACTTTGGAATTTCCAAGAGAATAAAAAATTGCGTAGCAGATAATATCAAACAATTCCATGAGAACAAAAAAATATATCCAAAAGTGATACTGTGGGCAACTTATTGATTTCGCTTTCAAAGTGTTTTGCAAAGGTTATGCATACAGGTAATAAATATAAGAACGATAAGTTAGAATTTTTCTTAGTAAATTTGCCCGCGGTTTTTAAGGCAGTAAATACCGGTAAATTAGCGAACAATTTCATTCGGCGCTAGACTACCGGAAACCTTTTATGCGATGAAAATTTCCATGAGTGTATCATAGTAATTGAAATAATTATTTCAAATCGCAATCCAGTATATTTGTTATTTGGAGAAAAATTTCTGTTTGTATGGTTTTACCAATTTTAAGTGTTGTAAAGAATGTATTTAATAAATATCTTAATATGGTATTGGTTGCTTAAAGATCTATTCTTGATAATTTATAAGATATATAAAAAGAAAAAAAGGTCAAACTTTCAGAACGTTTTTATTATATACATACAATTAACCTATGTTGACATAGTTTGGCGTGCCCACAGCTGGCCCTGGCTTGGCAATTTAAATATTTAGGTTTTGTATATAAATGTTTTTATTTTAACGAATAAAACGGTGCATAGATGAGTTTTATAGGACAATAAATTCATTGAATTATTTAAGGGATATATATAATCCCAAGAAAAAACACTCATGACAATAGCTTTTTATTTTTCTCATCTTCGTCCAATCGGTAACGAGACTAATGGCTGCGAGTTGGGCATTTACACCATATACCTCTATCTAATCCCAAATTTAAAAATTATGATATAATTATTTTATCTCCTACTCTGGGCAATCACCTTACAAGCTATAATTATGTTGATAATCTACTTTGCTACGCGCATTACAACGTAATTTAGTTTTGAAAAGCGGTTTGGTACGGCGCTTAAGGCGCACATGACTTTTCTTTGGTTAAAAAGCAATTATGTACGTCCGCAGTAATCTAGTGACCAAGTTTCAATGAGCGGATCCCTCAATCTAGAAAAGCAAGAGTTAATCATGATGAAACACATTCAATATTAAAGTCGGAATAGCTGTCACTAATATATATATGTTATAAGGAATTTTTACAGTCGAGGGTTGAACAAAAAGCGATTTAACCGTTATATTAAGCTTTTTCTACTTATTTGTTATTTTGGCGATATGCAATAAAATATATCAAAATAGATTCGTCATCAAGAAGCATCTATTTATTGAGAGATGAGGAAGTACACACTTACTTAAACCCTTCTCTTTCATCATTCCGAATTATAGACCATTTCTGATATCCTAAATGATTGTTTAGAAAACCAGGTTTGGATCTATAAGATTAAAGTAGAAGCAGTTTGTGCTAGAGTGAGCTTTCGCAATTGCGGCGGGTCAGTTGATTCCCGCACCAATATTACGAAAAATTTGCTCCACAACACACAAATATTTTATGTGTTTCATTACTTTATATCTAGATACTATAGGTCAAGTTGACTTGAAGATACGTTTAGAGATACTTATATAGTGACGCTCAGATGACGTAAGACTCAAAGATCCACAAATGAATAAGGGCGTTAACCAATGATTATGATATTGAATTTTATCATCTGCGGATTTAACGACTAATAAATAATAAAACCTACCAATTTTTCATATTTGTCTCCTTAAAAAATGGCAGTAGGTAAGATGTTCAGTTTATAATTTTCTGTCGAAAATAAACTCCGTATGCATGTCAGTCGTATGTTCGCAAAAAAACATAATTTCGGTATGAAGAATATTTAAACGCAATTA